TATGTATGTATATATAGAGTAAAAAAAAAGGTTAAGCATGTTTACTATAGTTAAAAAAAGGTTAAGTATGTTTACTATAGTTAAAAAAAAGGTTAAGTATGTTTATTATAGTTACAAATCAACCTTTGTACTTTAAGGTTGTTCTTTAGCTCAAGGAAATACAAAAGTAAGAGAAAACAGTTACAAAAAAAAATTATAATCAGACTTAAAAAAAAGATTTATTTTATGTCTGATTAGAATTCGTCAAACTTTTAAAAATATATGCTAAACACAAGTTTAAAACAAACTATAATAAAAAGATTCAAAAGATTTTTTATTTAAAACTACTTTAAACAAACCTTTGCATCACATTTTTTTGTATTTGTCTTAATGGTTTTACCTCCAATTTTAGAAAGTTTGTTAACCTAAAGATTAACTTAGGCTAAGTTATTATTAAATACTTAATCAAAAAACAATAAAATCAGCTGTAAATCTAAAACTAAAAATCAACTGTAAATCAACGTCGAAATAACGTCGAAATGTAACGTTTATTTGCCCAATGTCCACACAAAACCCATTTTGTGTGGACATTAAACAACATTAGCTTTAGTTACTTTACATAAACAAATAAAAAACAATTGAAAAAAAACTTTTACATTTTATAAAAAAACCGTTTCCTTTTTTGTTGAAAGTAGTCTGTCATCTTACGCCTTTTTGCGTTTGCCATAGTATATTAAGATACTAAATACAGGCGATTTTAAAACAAGGCTTCAAGATTCAACACATAAATACCGGAACTTAGCTCACGTGCAAAACGGTAGCCAATTTGATTAAGTTTTAAAACGTTTCGATTGAAACCACCATAACGAACTCGTTCCAGTAAAAAAAAAATTAAAAATTTGAAAGTCTGGTGGGTAATGCCTTACCCACATTACCCCACCCCTCACCCTTTATCCGCGCCTGATTTAGAATGATTCTTTTTTCCACAATGTGTAAAGAACTGAAGGCACGTGTAACACTACCTTTGTTTGATAAAAAGTCCGCAAAACATCTGGAGTTAGTTGTAAATTAATTGCTCCAATGTTGTGTGGTCTTTTCATTATACTTGGATGCGTAATTCAAATAGATAATTTTTGTTATAAAAGTTTATAAAATGACCGCAAAACATCTGAATCTAATTGTATTAAATACTCTAATTGTTGTGTGGTCTTTTAAAAAATAATAACAACGAAATAGTTACATTTTGAAATAAGATAAACAGTCAAAATTTTGATTTTCAAAGAGAAAAATTTACATACATCGATAAATTTTTTAAAAACGCATAATTATTACGGTTTAGATACGTAGCCAAGTCCCTGGAAAAATTCGGAAAAATTGAAGCAAATTTACTTGTTATTGTTTCATAAGGCATTTTTAGTGCCGCTTTCATCTATAGAAAAGCCTGTCTAAGAACTTGTGTTGTATTTTTTCCGACAAAAAATACAACACAAATAGTTATTTTTTTAAATTAAGCTTTTTTTTTTTCCAACCTATAAAATAATTAAGATAATAAAGTTATAATAAATAAAATATAAATTTATTAATAAACATTTTGAATATTTATATAAAATAATATATAAATATATAAATAAATATTTTAATGACAATATTTATATAAAATAGTATATAAATATACAAATAAATAATTTAATTACAAATCTCTTGTAAAACTGCAAAATTTAAAATATATATAAAATAGAGTTTTTCTCGAAATACGTAATGAGCAACCAGTGTTAACACTAGAAGCCCCTGCAGAAATACGTAAAAAGCAACAAGTGTTAACACTAGAAGCCCCTCTGGAAATACGTAAAAAGCAACAAGTGTTAACACTAGAAGCCCTTCTAGAAATATGTAAAAAGCAACAAGTGTTAAGGCGTTTTGAAAAACAGCTGTAATAAGTATCTCTAAAAAAGTAATTAAAGGGTACCCATCAAATGCAAAGGTGTAAACATCTATAGACCTCAATACTCTCACGTTTTTTTATTTTTGTTTTTCCACTTATTCAAAATCATTATCACTATCTTATATATCTTAAAATTTTATCTAAAGTTATACTAAGTTATATTGTATCTATATTAGAAGGAAACGATGCTATTATTAATATTATCGTTGTTGTTATTAATTCCTCATGCTCACGTATATTTTTAATTTAAATTTATGGACTTATGTCTTTTTCGGAATGAACGCTTTTTTGTATATACAAGACCATAGATTATCAGAAAAATAATGATTTATTATTACATAAAAACAATTATTGTTAGGTAATCATCACTTATTTCTTGGAATTCATTAATTGCCGAAGTTGTTGGCGAAGCAAAAACGTTTGTATAGAAGTTTTGGTACTCTTCTATTGAATATTGAATATATTTTTATATTTTTTTCAAATCTGATATTTTTTTTTCATTGATAGGCAATTTTCCAATATATGCAGGAGTACTACTTAATGGTAAGGTTGACCGGGTACCCATCCTTTGTAATAGCTAGAAATTATAACTGACTAAGCAATCTATGGATTCACGTGTTGTCACTAAACCTGATGTGGTATTAGAGAATGTGAAATGTGAGACTTTAGAAATACCAAAAGTAAATTTTTTGTCCTTGGGTACTCCTTTTCCATAGGAATCCACAGATAGCACAAGTTTCTTATAATGGTTTGGCCACCATTTTTTTACATCAATAATATCTTCAGTTTTGGGCCTTCTAATTTTAAATTTTTCGCTTGCTTCAGCTATAAGATTTTCATACTCTGTTGGTGTGTAAATCCGATCATTTTTTCGAATGTCGCTTTGCTGTTTCAAACATTCTATAGTTTACCAAGAATGAGTGACCTCTTTTTGGTATGTAATATTGTATCTCATTTGTATTGCTATCTGGTTCAGCTACCAGTGATAAAAGTATTCGGACCATGATTTCTGTTTTGGCCTGCACAACCATCAGAAAGTAGGTGCAGTTCTTTGGCTTTGTTGCCAATATTTTTTTAAATAAATTCAACACAAAGGTAGATACTTCGTTTGGATATGCTTACGTACGTATGTATTATCTTATATTAATGTATCTCCAGATAATGCGTTGCATCGTGATCACTGAGATTTACCTCTGTGATCTATAGGCTGCTCTTTTTTTTTTAATAAAATGCATAAACGTCTAACTTGTTTCATAGAAATTACATGCATACAGCAAAAAGCTTTCTTGTGTACTTTTCTTATCACACCTTCAATCTTAATGTGATAAATAAAAGAAAATTCTTTTTTCTTAGGTTCTTTAGATCTAAACCGTCTTCTCTCTATTTTCTTCTTTTCAATCAATGACTGAAAGTATGTGTCTTGGGCATTTTTGCAATCAAACTTGTTAACAAACTAAATTGTACTTTCTATAAAATCTTCAGATACAAGCTCCATACACTTTGAATTGCATCTGTAAATAAATAAAATTATTGAGGTAATATTATAATAATTATATATCAAGATGTTTTACCTTCAATTATTGGTGGTAAAACATGAGTAAATAAGCAAAATTTTGAGAACGAATATAATCATACTCTATAGAACAAAAAACTAACCTGCAAGAACCTGCATTTTAACCTGCATTTTACTAAGCTCCACATCATTTCCTTTGTGGTTTTTATAAGCTTTTAAAGCTATTTTGGCTTTTTTTATTTTTTCGTGTTTATAATTTCCACTGTTTCTTATACCAGATACTCTTTTTCTAGATCTTTATGCATTTTCAGCATGTTCGCAATTTTCCATTTTTGTTAGAAATAAATTACGTCATTACAGTTGCGCTTCGTTTCACTTGAAAAAATCATAAGTCCGGGACTTTGGCATATGAAAATGTTTCTCCTTCAAAGGGAATATGTAAACACTTGAATAAATAAAATTGCTTTAAAAAGTGAAATTTGAAAAAAGTGTGACTTGTGCCCTTTTCGAAATGACGGGTTCAACTGTTAAAAACATATAAACGTTGTAATCTTAATTTAAAGAAAAAACGTCCGAAATATGCATAAATCTCATTGCATAAATGCATAGTATATAGTTGCATAATTGCATAAATCACATTATACAGTCTATTGCATAATTGCATAGAGTCTATTGCAAATATGCATTAATCACATTATACAGTCACATTATACATTATCTAATCTAATTTGTATAGTCAATATGCGGAAGACAACTTTTAGCAATATGCAGCAAGGGCAAGGGGGTTGTTGTTAGGTTAGGCAATATTTTTACTCAGTGTTGTTAGTCAAAGTATGTTTTTAAATTGATTTCATCGCATCGTGGTATTAAAAGCGCTGATTTGCAAAAGCGAAGTATATGCATAAGTGAAAATACGTGTTTTTTGAAATAATCATTAATACATAGGTAAATATGTAAAAATATTTTGAAGTTACGCAAGGATAAACCAATTCTAAAAGCGTGTATTATTAACATTTTCAGATAATTCACGTTTTTCACTTAAATTTTAACAACCTATTGACTTTGAGGTACACTAAGGTAAAAGGAGATCAAATGCATTATAAAACCCACATTCTTTGCCATTTGGGCATGCACGTTGATAGCAAATGACTGAAAAATTTGATGTACGAATTTGATTTTTGACCTTTTTGCTAAACTCACTGTGCGCGCCTCTGATTGGTATATTCTAACAAATATTCAAAGCATTTTCTTAAGAATGAGAATAGTTATTGCTGTTTTTCTATAATTTTTTTAATTTTATAATTTTCTATAATTTTTTCAATTTTTCAATGCCATTTGCTTGAATTAAAAAAAATACTTTTATAAAATTGTTTGAAATTTAAAATGTCACAGACATTCATACAAACTTATATATATACAAAATGTAAGTATTTTAACGTTCATAAAAATATTTATAACAATTTAAGGCTACATAAAAAAGACAAAAATAAAAAGCTATAAAAATCAAGAGGTTTTTTTCAAGGTTAGTAAAGAAAATTAGAAAACGATAGAAAAAACAATTAAAAATATACTTGATAAAGATATTAAAAAAAAAGTTTTTTATCCTGTACACTCTCCCTGAGAGTTGAAGTGTTTATTATATTCGAGATTGTTTGGAAATTGTTTACCGCACTTTAAGCACTCAGTCATTCTACTTTCTTTTATTCCATGGTCATTTATACTGAGATTGCTATGAATACGCATGTGAGTATTCAAAGCATTTGTTCCTGAAAATGATCGAAAACATACACTACATTTTAAAAGGCGTTCTGAACTATGGGCAGTGGCCATATGTTCTTTTAGTAGCGAAGGGTCTTGAAAAAGTAATTGACAACGATTACATTGAAATGACTTTAAAACGTCATTTACTATGCAATTATGTTTTTCAAAAGTTCCTTTGTTATTAAATCCTTTGCCACACCCTTGACATCGAAATAAATCCCACTCACTTTCATTTTTGATACGATCTCTCTCGAAATGCATTACTTGATCTTTATTTTGCAACAACATCCCTTTTTCCATAACCATTTTTTCATGCTCTTGGAATGCTATTTTTTCGTGAAGAGCACGTTCCCTTTCAGATAAATCTCTTTCATTTCGAAAACGTTCTCTTTCAATATTATTCTTATCATTACTTCTTGCAGAGTCGTCTATTTTTACTTTAGAATTTTCTGACACGGACATTACAGAAGGGGGATGCTTATAAAACCCTGATGAGAAATGAGACTGCATATGCTGGGGTGGAACTGGTGTTCGCTGATTATGTCTCTCGACAAAATCAGAGTGGTAAGAGCTATTGCGTTTATGAAAGTCTTCTAAGCTAGCAGATCTTATCATAAGATCGGATCTGGGAAAATCAGAGTGTTCTAAAGTTGGCTGTGCAATCCTACCAAGACGTGAATCCATTACGTATGGCGCTTGACTCAATGTTGGAGGTTGAACAGGGGGTAGTTGATATGTACTTGCTTCGTGAGTATGATGTTGGTGCATATGTCCAAAGGGTGGGATACGAGGGGGTTCGTTAATACCATTGTTTATATTCGCTTTTCCACCCTGGAGGAACAATCCTGGCGGATTTAATCTTCCATTATCAGGGTGACTGATTCTACCTGATTCTATATCTGCTATTCTAGAAACTTCATAAGGAGCTTGAATACCTAAATATAATTTAAATTTTTTTTACTTTAATGTACCATTAATAACCAGTTATTAATTTCTTATAAATTCACACTTAATATAATATTAGGCATAAACAATAAATAGAAAAACTTCATGAATGGAATCGCATATTGAGGAATTGAATAGTATATATAAGAAATGGAATGGAATTGTATATTGAAGAATGAAATAGTATATATAAGAAATGTATATATAGTATATCGAGTCAGAAATTTCATATATAGTTAAAAATACTTACTTTCCATGGAATGAGATGACAAGTCTCGAATTTCATAAGGAATCCCAAGGTATTGTGGATATTTTTCATCGTACCAAAGTAATAGCTCTGAACCAACCAAAATGTCTTTATAAACGCGATAGTAAATACTTCCGTAGTATTGGAAAACAAACATATTTTGTTCGGCCCGATGTCGAGCACATTGAATAAATCGCATCCAACTTGAGGTATTTTCATCACTAGCATCAAGAAAATAACACAACCGAGAGTTTTCATAAATCTAAATAACAAAAACTAGTTGAATATTTTCAACTGAAATATTAAAAGAATTTTTCTATTCAAAATTCAATTTGAATGAACTGAAAATAGTTTGCCTTTAGTCTTACAAAAAAAAATTTTCATTCTGATGCAACAGCTGAAAATAACAACAACAAAATCCAAGATTCAGTATTATTAACGATACAGTGTCAAGTAATAAGCAACTACCGTACATCAATCGTGAATTCATTTTTATCTTCACCTGCTAATTTCAGAACTTAAATTGGCGATATAAAACAATAGATAGAGAAACCAGTTAGAGACTTTAATCTTGTATATTACTTTGTACAGAGAACAATACAACTTTGTTGTTTAATTTGTTTAACTATACACTATTATATATTAAAATTTAACAAAACTGACCAATAGTTGAGCTGATTTTATGTGCAATAAATTGTTCTGACAGATTTTTAATAACAGAAAATAAAAATAAAATTTCTGCAACTACAGATTTTTCATGAATGATATTAAATCATCATTTTTGTAGCATTAAATCCCTTATCTTTGTACTATATAAATTATATAATTAGTGCTATGAATAATTTTTTTGTCCATAGCGCTAGTTTTATAAGCTAATATAGTACAAAATAGAATAATATTTTGCTAAAAAATTACTTGAAAAATATTTTAAAATTTTTTGATTTTAAATAAAAAACACGATTTTTACTAAAAAAAGTCGAAAAAAAGTCAAAAATATTTAGAATTTGATTTGTTTAAGACACCCACCATCAAATTAAAGCATCATATAAACAATCTCAACCCTCGCAATTAGGAAAAATAACAGTTTGAGGTCGGCAATTTATTGCCGACCTCAAACTGTTAAAGGTCAGCGAAAAAAATTTGATACAAAGGGGGTTACCATAAAACCTAGAAACAAGATTGGCAATTTTTTGATCACCTCAAACAGTTTTAGGTTGGCAGTTAGGTTTGCATTGCCGAACGCCGACCCTAATTCTGAGGGCTGCAATCTAGAATGCACATTATTAATAAATTTTAATGCTCAAAAATAAGGTGTTGGTTTAACTACCTTAAATAAAGGAGAATTTGAATCATTTTTGAAAACTATTAGTATTACCATGCTCATAAAGCATAACAGATATGACAAAATAGTCTTGATGAGTGTAACTTAACATTATGGGAGCAACTTAAACTCTGACTCCTTAAATATTTTGATTTTAGAATCAAAATTCAAAAATTGGAATTAAAACATCTCTATGGAGATGTCTATGAGCAAATACAACTTTTTTATCATTCTTTGCATCAAGTTATGTTTTAGCATAAATAAATTTTTAAGAAATTAAACAATTGCATAAGTAATATTTTGAAAATGAAAAGCCAATTATTAATTTATTAAATTTTGTTTTCAGAACTTTTTCTTGTAAATTTTAAAAACATTTTCAACTCTAAAAAAAATGTTTCCACTGTTTTTAAGACGTTCAAACTTTTTGTGACTGAAAACTGAGAACAAGATTTTTAGGTAAAAAAATATTTGAATATAATTTGGTTATTTTCAGCAGTTCTTACCTGCTGATTTATTGGCCAAATATGAATCAAAATTTTCCACTTTAGAGAGGAAAAAAATCAGTGCTCTGGTTTTTCCGTCAAACCCTCTGATTGTATAAACGATCAGGAAGATGATTCAGCACATAGCATGCCTACCTCCCATAAAAAAGGAGCATCTCCTTCACTAATTTGCTTGAGTCCATCTTCTACAGATATCTTTCTTCCTTCATAAGGTCCAATCCAGGTTCCTTTAGGTATAAACAGTTTTGCAAATACACCATAACCAGCCAGCGGAATAGTTGAAATACAAAGTCCAACTTCATCAGGAAAGGTAGAAACAGCATAGGATTTGGGCCCTAAAATGATATTACAAAAAAAAATCATAGGATCTGGGCCCTAAGAAAATCACACAAAAACAAATAAAATGAGTAAATTTGCAACAATTTTTTTTTTTCAATTTCAAATTCATAATTACCAACATTTATGATTTACAAGTGTTTAACTTACCATTAAGATTAATTGATGGATGTGGAGAAGGGAGAGGACCATGTTTTGGACATTCTCCAAACCGAACTTCTTGACATACGTCGCACCCTAATAATATTCATTTTATTATAAATCTGATATCTTGAAGTTAAATGTTATAAATATTTTTACTAAAATTCAAAAAAATTAGATTTAAGGTAAACCATCTAAAAATTTGGAAATATTAAAGTTATATGTATTAATGAAGCTTATGAAACTTTAAAGTTTTATGATCTTAGAAAAAATAATACTTTTTTAATTTAATAAAATAAATAAAATATCAGGAATTAAGGGAACACAAACTGCTTTTTGATACAAAAAAATCCCAGTCCTGGTTAGTGATTTTATATAATTAGATGAACAAATTAACTTTTTAACCGTTTTAAAAGTGAATTACAAAAAAAAGATTTTGGAAAAAAAATTCATTTTTACAATTACAAGGAATATCTAAAATCATGAAGTCATTTTTACAAATAAAAGGAATATTTAAAGTCCTCAAGTAGGGAGAGTGGGGCACCATGAAATCGTGTAATTGCGGAAGCATATTATGAGTTGTGACAACCCCTTTCATCCCTTTCATATGGTGAAACATTTACTACTAGAGCTATGTTTTGACAAAAAAATTATATTATTTGATATCATTAGGCCTGGAAGGGGTCGAAATTTTGATGAAAAAGTAATCTATAAGTTTTAAAGTTTTTTTCTTATTCAATAAGGTATCTTATTCAATAAGTCTATCAGAAAGTAACATTTTGTAAACTTCAATCCATAGGCTCTTTACTTCATTAAACAAAACCATTGGAAAAACAAATTAATACTAAAAATAGAGCGATTATTTTCTTTTAGTAAGTATAGGATAACTTAATACAGCATTTGTGGGATGTCCTAAAACTGTAAAATAGTACTTCATTGTGTCATAAATAAAATCTAAAAATCATTTCTTTTAATATTTACAGCCAATTTTTAAGAGATTAATACAAATACAATAGTAGAAGATTTCAATACAAAATTATTTATTGGCGTTTCAATACAAAATTATTTATTGAAGTTTAATAATTACATTCAAAACAATACTAAAACAATAGGAAAAAAATATATTATCTGGATTTCTGAAATGTGACTTGAACTATTGGATGCATAACTTGGGTTATAATTAATTTTTTTGTTTTTCAAGTAAAAATTGGTCTTTTCTCTATGTTTAATCTTTTTATTTGATTTTTTAATGATGCTCATAGTTAATATAAAAGGTGCCTCATGAGTGGGGGTACAAAATCTCTTTGAATAGTCTCAGAAGTTTTGTTATATTCAGATAATTAACAAATCTAATTTTTTTAGGTATAAATTTATTCTAAAAATTAAACCAATCACTTAAAAAAAAACAAATTAAAATATTGTTTCCAAGAAAAATCAAAAGTGGTTCATCACGGTGCCCCACTATCCCCTAAAGTAACTATGACTAGACAATATAAGATTAACTTTTTCCTGGTTAAATGCACTTCCGTGGTGCTATGACAAGACTGTTAGGTCTTCTTGGGGCACCCAAAAAAAAAAAAAAATAAATAAAAATAAAAAGAAAATGGATTTTTTTGGATGTTTCTATTTTTTTGAGTGATTCTATTTTTTTGGGTGATAACAAGAATAACTAGATTAACTATGACTAGACAATATAAGATTAACTTTTTTCTCCTGATAAAAAGTTTAAATAACTTCAAATAACGGACAACGGAATTTGGGATGAAAAGAGAGAAGCAACTGATCTGGAAATTTAAATAAGAAATTATTGTAAAACAATTTTGCTAAATGATTTAAAATTAGTTGCATTGCAGTAATTTTATATTTTACCAACATAAAATATGGTTACCAGTTTTAATTATAACAAAAGAATTTAAAAAAAAAAGACTTTCTCTTCATAACCTGGTTTGTTTATATGATATTCTTAGATGAACTTCTTTTTGAAAAAAATTCTTAGACAGTCTTAGACAGTCATAGTCACAACTAATCCTGTATTGGGGCAGGCAAAGATTAACCATGAGGAAGTCAATTTACTTAGGAAAAGGAAAACTCTGATATGAAACCTCAATGTAACTGTTAAAAATAAAGACCTCCAGTGATGTAAAGAAATGTATGGAAACCCCAGAAGAAAAAAAAATATTGATAGCTATTTCGTTGAAAATATATTTTCCACAAAACTGTCGTCAAATAACATTTTTGCATTTATTTAAATATACTATGATGATACTCAATTGTTATCAAATAAAGGTCAAAAATATATGTGTTATTTGTATTAAAATCTTTGGTAAAAAGTCAGTAAAGCTTTAAAAAATAACTAAAGTACTTAAAAAAAAAATTGAGATGAATAAAAAATTATATTTATGACTAAGTGTTTAGCCTTAATTGCTGTTGTTATTTTTATCTATTTAGTAAAAAGAAAGAACACTAGAAAAGGAAAAAACACTATGTCAATGAATCTTAATAGTTTAAAATTTAAAAAATAGTTTGTTTTAGGAACTAAAATGTAATCTTTTTTTTTTTTCTTTCAATTATTTTGTATATTACTAGTTTATATACTTTTAGACAACTTTTAATCTACGTGTGTTCTATTTTAAAGTTGCCACCGTCGTTGCCATACTCCAGACTTACAGAGTTCAAATAAATCAGTCAAGGATGTTTTTTTTAGACTAAAAGATAAAACTGATAACACTGATAAACTGATAACACAAGGAAAATATAACAATGATATCACTCAAGTTTAAAACGATTCTCAAGAACATAACGTACTAAAGTAAAACACTACAGACGAACAGAAAGGCCCCCACAAAGATTAGACTTATGAGTTAATTCACTAAGAGGGCATGTTCTATTTTAAAGTTGGTGAATTCTAATTATACATGTTAGAAATCACATAGATGCGTGTTAAAAGTCACAAGTAATTTTATTGTTTAATGAAAATTGTAATTAAAAGATCATCAGACTTTTTTAACTTTGTATATATATATATAGTAGATTTTTGTGTAGAGTTAGTGAGGTTATAAGAAAACTACAATAATATTATTGTTTTTATTAAATTCATGGACGCAATGATTCAACAACATAAAACTAGCAATCAATGCGGTAGTGGTGTAGTGGTAGAGCGCTCATAAGCGAGAAGTTCTGAGTTCAATCCCCACCATGTCCCTGGTAGTACAGCGCTCAACTTGTTTCTCCGTGTAGCGGCCTTGGTGGTGAGGTTTGTGTTTCCGAGTTGAAAGAGGGTTGTAACTACAAAAACCAACCTCCTCAGCTGTAGTGGCCTTCATAGGCTTGGGGAGGAGAATAATTATAAAAAAAAAAAAAAAAAAAAAAAATCAAACTGACTGTGACAATTTTAAAGTTAAGCATTAAAAGATAGATGTTTGTGGTGTGACGTTTTTTGAATGGTGCATAAAAACAAACACTTGGCTCTTTATGATTGTTATTAGTAAATGACCGAGATTGATTTTTGACCGGAGCCGGGTTTGATTAAATATAGCCAGCGCCGCGGCTGGGTTTGTGACCAGGGCTGCATAAACATTTATACATCACAAAGTAAATTTTATTTCTTTAAAATTTATGTTCGATTTTGTATATATATGCATTTATAAACATCATTATGATCAACATAATGATGATCATCATCATGATCATCATATTTGTCATCATTATCATCATCATCATCATCATCATCATCATCATCATCATCATCATCATCATCATCATCATCATCATCATCATCAGCAGCAGCAGCAGGTTTTAGCTTTCTTCTCTTATGGCTTCTTTTTCAACAAGTTGCATCCTTTTACTGTATCTGTCCTTATTATTCCTATTATTATTTATTGTCCTTATAAATGTAAGTATAAAATTATAATATATTAAGAATTATAAATTTATTTCTAACCCCTGCTATCAACCCCTGCTAAATCTTATAATTTTTCCGGGGCCGGATTTGCAAAACATCTCATTTTTAGCAGGGACCAGGGCCCCAGTCACTTACTAATTATCATTACAATAAATATGTAGAAAATAATACATAATAGAAAATTATCATTACAATAAATATGTAGAAAAATACTAATATTGAATCTGCTGTTATAAAATTCAAAACGACTTTTTCTACTTTAATGGATGATAATAATAATTACTTTAAAAAGTTTTCATTAAATGTACCCTGGAAAGTTCATATTGCAGTTAATCAAATTGATTTCTAAAACATACTAATACTGATAATTGTAAATTGATAAACTGATAATAACATATTAGGTATAAAAGACAACAAAACAATTCAGACTATGATATTGTCAAGTTTTTTTTTCACCATTTGATATATAGTTCAAGCCTCGGAATTAGGAATAATTAGGTCGACAATAAATAGCTGACCTCAAACTGTTAGAGGTCAGCATAAAGTCGGAAAAAAAATTTGATACAAAGGGGTTCCATAAAACATAGAAACGAAGTCAGCAATTTTTTGCGGACCTCAAACACTTTAAGGTCTGCAGTTAGGTCAACATTGGCAAATGCCAACCCTATTTCCAAGGGTTGACTTTATGTTCCCATATAAGAAATGCTTTAAAAAATGTTTGACATTTCATTATTTAACAGATGTTAAATTTCATTATTTAATGGAAAAATTAGGTCGGCAAATTATTGCTGACCATATTTTTCCTAATTCCCTAGTTAGAATTAAGTTTGTAAAAAAAATAATTTTCTTTACAAACTTAATTCTAACTAGGGCGCAAGCTACCTTTCAAGGTAGTGGAAGTGATAGACTCAAAACTCTATCACTCCCGCTATTTAAGTTGAGAGAAAGTCTACTAATTTAATGAGGCCATCCCTCTTTTAGACAAAGTTCAAAAACATATGGTAAACTATGTTGGACCTGCTCTAGCTGCCAAGCTTTTGTTTTTATACAACTTTGTCAACTACTTTCTTGCTCTTTAACTCTTTTCTTAGCTTCCTAATAACTCCCAGCCCTTTCTAATAACTCCCTTAGCTTCCTAATAACTCCCAGCCCTTTCTAACAACTCCCTTAGCTTCCTAATATCTCCCAGCCCTTTCTAATAACTCCCTTAGCTTCCTAATAACTCCCAGCCCTTTCTAACAACTCCCTTAGCTTCCTAATAACTCCCAGCCCTTTCTAATAACTCCCTTAGATTCATAATAACTCACCTAGCTTTCCGATAACTCCTTGCTCTTTAATTCTTTTCTTAGCTTTCTTAACATTTCCCAATATAAATAGAGGCTGCTTTAAGAATTGTTGGAAGAGAACTCATAAAAAAAAACAGCTATTGCAAGCCTCAAGTTGTCAAATAATTTAAATTGTAATATTTAAGATTGGTTGCCTGATCTAAGCAATCAAAAATATTGACTTTTAATCCATATAATGTTTTACATCAGCAAATAGAGCCACTATAGAGGTAAAATTATCAGGAAAATCATAAATACATAATGCAATATGTCTTAACTACTTAAAACAACAAAGTTATTCTTACATTTTGCAGGTTTATTTTTATCTTCATTTTGATTTCCACTAGCAGAAGTAACAGGGACAGATTTAAAATTGCCAGATGGGGAAGGTTTTGAATTTCCTATACGAACTACACGCAATTCTTGTTTACCAAACAAACAACGATCGATATCTTGTAAAGTAAAATGAAACCTTTGCCTTTGATAAGGATGAAAACGAGAACCATAACCAACTCTTACTACTTGAGCAGAAGATACTGCCATCTGCTTTAAAAGACCTCGTTCGGGTGAACTAGTAGGTACCAATCTTCCTGGCATACAAGGCTAAAAAACATATTTTTAATTACAAAACAATAACACAAATAAACAGTAAGTTATATTTCAAAAGTCATTTTAACACAATTTAAAAAAAAAAAAAAATTCAAAAACACACTTAGCCTTGGTTCAGTGCCTTTTATGTTTTTGTGTTTAACATAACCAATAACTAGTATTGTAGTTAATCTTTAAAACATTTAAAAAAAAAATTAAAATGGAGAAAAGATATGTATGATATGAGGTATATGACTTGAATTTTTTTTTTTTGGGGGGGATTTATTTTTGGTGTGTATGATATGATATATGACTTGAATTTTTTTATTTTTTGGGGGAGTAACTTTGATAGAGTAAAACAAGAAATTGTGTTTTAAATAAAAATAAAACTTTTTCAAACTTTATAAGGTAGTTATAAACTTTGTATTTACTATAGTGGTTTAATTTTATCAAGTACTTGAATTTTATCATCTATAGTGCTTTTATGCAAAAATTGAATTAAATTATACTTCATGCCAAATTTATTAGTGTTTCAAAATAAACATAAACTTTTTCTTTTCTTTTTCCCAATATTTTATCAAACAATTTGGTACAAAAAACAAACAGTATTAAAAAAAAAAATACAATTGAAAATTTGCCTTCACTTTGTAACATATAAAAGCATTCCAAGACTTTAAACAATTATTTACATCGCTTCTAGATAGTTTACCTTAACTATGGTAAAGTTTTACTTATGAATTGCCTTTATTTTTTTTTTATTATTTTTTTTTAATATCTATCCTTTTTATTTACTTATAGTTACATTAAATAAATAAAATAAACAAACAAACTGTGATATTTAGTGTAAAGAGTCTAACAAAAGTAGATGTTAGACTATAACTGTTTCACAGATTTCCATATAATAGTCATAGAGGGTTTTGATTAGTTTTTGGCACTTACAACTTCTTGTGATAAACAGTTCCATTTTTCCACTGTTCTATTTATAAAAAAGTATGTCCATCATTTGTATTTTTACTTTGTTGTTTACATATTCTTTTATTGTGCCCTCTTGTAATATAATTTTCTATAAGTATATGATTATTTTACCAATTAATTACATCTAAGTTCTTCATAAACCTGTACAGTTGCACTATATAAATTCATAAAACATTATTTCTTTTACTCTGAATAAAATTTAATTTTAAAATTGCTTAGAAATCAATATATATATATATATATATATATATATATATATATATATATATATATATATATATATATATATATATATATATATATATATATATATATATATATATATAAATATATATATATATATACATATATATATATATATATATATATATATATATATATATATATATATATATATATATATATATATATATATATATATATATATATATATATATAATTATAAAATATATAATCATTACACTATTATAAAAATGTATTGCATTAAAAAAATATAACTCATTATATAAGTTATATATGATAAATGTAGCAGTAAAACAAATATTTAACAAACTATATGAACAGCATTATTTTTAAAATCTCAGTTCTAGAACTGACATTTTAAAAATATTTAAAACTTATTAAAAAACGTATTTAAAAATTTTTAGAACTAAGAACTCTCAGTAGAAAGGAATCACAGCTAAAAATGTGAACTTATTGTTATTAATATTGGTGACTATTTTTACAAATTATTTAAGTGGTAAATTACTTTTGATAAATAATTATTTAACATATCTTTACTCTAACATGATAAAAATACACATTTAAGTCAAAATTGAGTAACTGGTAAATGCATAAATCTTTAGTATAATAAATTATAGAAAAAAACTTTACAATAAAACTTATTTTAAGCAACTATGATCATAGATTTTTATATAATCATATGATTATATAAAAAAGTTTAACAATGTAAAACAATACAAAAACCCATGAAAACAACACTAGACAATTCCATAAAAATGTCTAGTTACTTTTTAGGTTTTATTCCGAGAGATATTCTCCTTATTTTTTTAAGTTGTTAAAAAAATGTATATTATATCTTAATCTATTAAAATCTACCAAATCTATTTTTTTCTAAACAGTTTAACAACTATTTTTATAAAATTTAACTTGAATCTAACAAGAAGATATATTTAGGATAAAAAAATCTAATTACGTTAATTAAAAAGGAATCTATTTAAAAAATCCCGCATTAAAATAACAAAAACACAAAAAAAACAAAATATATATAATTTATTAATAAAAACTCGTAATCAATACACGTTTATTATCAACACGTTATTAAGGACATTTATTAATTTTATGTTTATTTTAATTTTATGTCATTTTCATTTATGTCGAATACCCCGCGCCGAAGTTATAAATAGAGTTTTAGCTGGCGGTTGCGCGATCGTTAATATATTCGTTTTTGTTTTCTACTTTAAATTAAACGGTCAAAAAAGTTTGAATATGTTTGACTACACAATATTTAATTGCAAAATATTAATTTATATTTATGAATGGATTTTGGATGTTTTAATTTTCGAGTGTTAAGGTTATATAAAGTTTCCAGACTAAAGATTTCTGACAACCAGAAAAAACTGTTGGTCTGACTCCTTTGTTTTCCAGTTTATAGGTATATAAACAACAAAATATTAAATTGAAAAAAACCTTCCTTTTCTATCTTTACTTTCCCAAATATAATCTATGATAATAGGGTGCAATAAATAGATGGGAAAAATGGAGAGTCGATATAAATTCAAATCTGATTAACAAAAAATTAAAAAAAACAAGCATATAATATATTATATGCAACATTTAATCATCAATATATCATATATTCAGAGGGTTGATGTCACCCAGTGCGGCAAACTTTAACAGCCATATATCTTTCAAACCCGACAGCACTCCCCCCCCCCCCCAATTTTTTTCTAAAGGCCATTTTTTTTTTTTTTTTTTTTTTAAATCTTGATATAGAGCACTTTTTTCACAAATTGATGATTGTGCCCCCCCCCCCTCCACACACACACACATCAAAACCCGTGTCTTCGGTCCTGTTTTTTCCGAGTGCACCTGTACTATAGAACTCATATAATATTGTTTATGAAACGTTTGTAAAATAAGTCAAAAATTTAATAAGGACATTAAATAAAAAGCAGTTTAAACAATTTAACTTTAAAACTTCAAGTAAAATATAAATTAAGAGCTATATGACAAAGTGCAGTTATTGTTATTATATTGAACTTAATTTTATTTAAAAGCTTCCCTTCTAATCTTCAAAGCTGTAAACTTTACAATTAAACATCGTCAAGAACAATATCTTTTACCTAATCAATTGTAATTGATAATAGAGCCAGATATTCTTATCTGGTCGCGAATGTCCCGACATTGATCGTAAATAGTTCTTTGACTGTCCCATGATAACAAATAGTTCTAAATAAGTTTATCTTCTACATCTATTACTTCTACATATTATGATCATATAATTGTTAAAAACAAAATTTCATCTAAATAGGGATAAGATCAAACAAAGATTATATATCTAAATAGATGTGCCAGTAGTAAATTAGGGTAAGACGGGGCAAAATGAGACAGTGGAGCAAAATGAGACAGAGCGCATTTGTAATCATCTTGACTTCGCAAAGTTTGGTTGTGTTCGTAAGTTATTTAGTGTTACAAAAAATATCTTGAGTCACTTTGAAATGAAGAAGATGAAGAGAACGACAACCATTTCATCTCTTGGCTATATGACAATTACGAATTTCGATGCGTTGTTTTTTTATTTTTTCTTACTGTTTTTTTATCATACGGAGTAGAAAAAAATTTTATATTCAAAGTTAGTGTTTTATTATCATCTTTAGGCATTGCTCTATCAATTCCATATATTGATATTTTGAAAAGAACACTTACTTTTTTAAGTAAAAGCCTGTCGATGTCTTACTCCTTTCAAATTTATCTCCTTTCCAAATTTTTTTAAAAAACTATATTTTTTTATAAACATATATATTATAAAATAATAAAATATATGTTTGTGAGCGATATTAGTAATGATAAAATTTTACGCTTTTCAAAAAAATTATTATTTTTATAAAAAAAAGTCTCTAAAAAACTTACATATTTTCTTAAAACAGCGTGAGTTAGTGCGTTATTATTATTATTATTATTATTGCTATTATTATTATTATTATTATTATTATTATTATTATTATTTCCAATCAAATTTAATTGGTGCGTTTACTAATAACTCAAGACTTTGCTCTGAGGCTCCGAGCACGAGCAGTTCTGAACTTTTATTTAAGATCTAAGATCAGGGGTGGCGGAACAGTGGGGGCTTTGAGGACTTCAGCCCCTCACTTTTAAAAGTGTGGGGGCTTTTTTTAGTATTATAGTTCCCCCACTTTTCAAGTCTGTAAAATTATTATTTTAAAAGTTTTTATCTTGTTTTAAATCACAACTTCAAGCTGCTAGAGGTCAATTAGTATTTTGTATTTAACGTATTTGCTTCGAATCATGTTTTACAAGCTTCTAGGAAGCAATTAGCGTTTTTTATTTGAAATAATAACTTTATGTGTTTGCTTTGAACAATGTTTTACAATTCACAAGGGAGCGATTAACGGTTGTGAATATTATATAAATCTATACATAAACACATTTTACGTAACTCACAATCCTAATCTTACGACTGGTATTACGATTAGTAACGAAGAGTTGCGACGGAACCGTCTCATAAAAAAACAATAAACACTGACTTCTTACTTTGTACATGACAAGCATTCTTGAAGTCCAACTTTACCAACGGCAGAAATTATTCAAGAAGGAAACGACATTGAAAAATCTTTTCCTGCTTGTTCCTGCTGAAGTGGAATGCCAAAAAACAGAAATAAATCTTGCCGATATTGAAGCTATCAAAAAAATTTATGTCAAACAACTAAGATTTTTCAATGAAAAATGGATTATAGATTACCTTTTGAATCATCTATGTCATTCTAAAAAGAAAGTTATTTGCTATACTTCCATTGGTG